GCGCTCTTGCAGTATAGGATCAGAATTATGTGTTTTTATCCTCATAGGCTTATTTAATTTTTAATGGGAGTGCCTTACAAATGTGCACAAACACATGTTTTTCAGCAGCTTCCATGGGAACCAAAAACATGCAATTCTGCCCCAGAGAAGCCCATAGAATTTTGTGAGCTTCACATGACAACGCTCTCAGGTATGAACAAGTGCCTTTCAGAATAGGGATCTTCATCTTGATTGTTGCCGCTCCTTGGGAAACATGCAACAAAACGTTGAGGTGTGAAAGAGGCCTGAGACCTGGTTCTATATACCAGGCAAAATAACAAGATAGGGTCCAATGACAATCCTAAATTTTAAGAGGTGCTTATGTATTAAAAAGGTAGCATTCACCCTGCTGGGATCTAAAAGAAAACACTGAGATAGGACTCCAGAGATAGTGTCAAATGAACACATGGGCCCTGACAAAAGGACTGAGTGTCTGCTGTCCTCAGGCAATATCATGTCATTTATCCCATTGGCAATCGTAATGAATTATGATCAGATTATATTTCTCTATTCTTCATCTATTGGTGGGAAACTATATGATGTCATTTTACTCCTATTTATACATTAGGCTACATTCGCACAGGCGATTAGGGCCAGTGCAAATTGTGGCCCGAGATTCCTGCTTGCGACTCTCAGCCACCGCTGGATCTGTTCACCATCATAACAGGTCACAGGCAGCCGCAGCTATTCGTGGCTCCCTGCACAGCCAGTGATTACCTGTTGTGATCACTGCTGGACACACACAAACTGATTCCAGCAGCGATCACCACAGGAAATTGCTGGCTGTGGACAGAGCCACGAATAGCTATGGCCGCTGGCGACCTGTCATAATAATGAACAGGGCCGGCGGCCACACCTAACCACTGAGAGCTGCAAGCAGGAATCTGAATCCTGCTGCTACAAACCACACCAGCCCCGACTGCATGTGTGAATGTCGCCTTAGGCTGGCCATACACTATACAATTTTCTGTCCAACTTTCTTTAGATTTACCTTCAACTATGTAGTGCAAGAGCCTACCTAATTGGATACAATTGAAAGTGTTGTTAGGTTTGACCTCATATTATATGGTTTTTGGTAAAAATCTCAAGAAAATTGTATAATATATGGCCAGCCTTAAAGGTACATATTTGCCTCTGAAGAGACACTCAAACAGCACCATTATTTATTTCCCCATGTTGGACATTTATATATAGGCATTCATCTGTACTATTTAATTGTGTCCATGGGAATATATTGGTACAGATACTAAATCAGCCTGTTTTATTTCTATTGTAAAATATTACCATTGTGTTTATTAAAAGAAAGTAAAACAAATATTTTTGTATTAGGTGGTGCCTTGAAATTCCCTAAATCTGGCCAAACACAGGTCAGGTTTTTCATTCAGCAACCGAATTGAATGGGGGCAAAAAAAAAAAAAAAAAAAAAAAAAAAAAAAAAAAAAAAAAAAAAAAAGAAAACTGATCAGATTCCCCATCCATACATTCTACAGGGATGGGAACGCTTCCTGCTATTATGTCGTCATATTCTGACAGTGGGACTCCTCCACTGGTCAGTCAGTTATCACACTTTTGGTTCCTTGTATACACATGTACCCATGTAGGTGCACTAATGCCCATGTTCCATTATACTGAAGGATATAGCCCAAGATGTATTGCATAGGAATATGTTGTGAACACGACGGCCTCCTTTGTGTGGTTTTGATTCACAATGTCCCGTGATGGCTACTGGTGCAGTTTGTTTTTTGATTGGCAGTTTTTAACTTGCATATTTTGTTTGCTGTCTGATACAACATATATGTTGTTACATTTTAGCAAAAAGAAACAAAACAAAAAAAAAATAAAAAAATAAAAAAAAAATTCACTGATCAGTACTGCAACTCACTGGCTGCAATCACTGATCGAAAGGAAATTTTCCAGCAGGACCATTCATGAGAAGCCGATTTATTGATCGATTTCCTGGGAACAGGAATGGTCAGACATGGATAAAAATTTCCCCAATTCCTGCTGAAGTGGCCAAATTTTGCTGCACATGTGGCCAGCTTTACACCCTCAATACTTTTATTTCTTGCAATATTTGGGATGTTTGCACCCTACTCAGCCTCAAGTTCTAGCACAATATTCCCAATGCACACATTCCTGAAAAATGGCTGTGAATGTATGTGAGTGCTGCAGTGACCACAGACTGGAAACCGAAGATGTCTAAATGCAGAAGGTACGTCACCAGCACACCAAAGACCCCCAAAGCTTTATTCAGCGATTACATCAAAAACACAGAAGTGATGTTCCAGAGTCTTGTAGGACCCCTTCATATGACGTGGATCACATGCCTGATGAAGTGGTCCTGAGAGGCTCGGAAACGTTGCTTCTGTGTTTACAACGTGATCGCTGAATAAAGCTTTAGGTGTGCTGGTGACATACGCTCTGCATTAGCCTCAAGATACACTATGTTTACTTGAATCACATTTTTAATTGGATATCTGATTTTTTATTGAGGACCAAGAGAAGCCACAAGATCAGGGAATGCAGGAAGAAAAGAAAAAGATATGATGCAGTTGATCCAGCCTGGCCATACTGGAGAGCTCCTGTCCCTGATCAGACATGTGATGGGGGGGTGTGAATGAGCCCCCTGTACAGGGGGGTGTGAATGAAGCCAGGCTCCCAGGACTGATGTCAGAGGAGAGCCCAGGCTCAGTGTGCAGAAGGAGGAGGAAGCAGTGGCTGTGCGTGTGTTGTAGGGGGTGTGGAGAGGACAGACAGGCCAGCTCTGCTCTCCGCAAGTCAGTCCCGCCACTCACACACTACACCCGGGAAGTCAGGCCTCCACCCCCGAGGGGAGGGGACACACGGCCTCCTGGTCATACACACTCCCGGGTGACCCCACTGACGTGCCCCGCACCTTCTGTCACCCCTCCCCCTCCGGTGGGCCTGCGCTCCCTCCCCATGTGACTCCCCCGGACTGCTCACCTGCTACCACAAGACTCTCCCGGGCTCCCCTCACACTCGAACGTTCAGCTGTGTCGGGGTGAATAGCCGTGAACGGGGTGTAAGGCGCTCACTAGCCCGGCAGCCTTCACACAGCAGCGCTCACACCCCTCTTCTTCTCTGTCTCTCTATTCCGCCCTCCCCCCTCTCTCTCTCTACACTCCCCACCACACAGCCCTCAGCGACCCGAAACCGATTGGACGCAGCGCCGCGGCCCACGTGACTGCACACCGCCTCGTCCCATTGGCGAGCTCGCAGGGCGGGGCCAAGGTTGTCACTCAAAGGCACACACGGTCTGCGGTGAGCGCGGGTTGACAATGACAGGCCAGCCCGACTTATCGCCCACAGAGCGTCGTGTGTGCGTGCAGGGAGCGGACACGCGGCTGTAGCACACAGCCATTATCAATGCTCTACGTGCACTAATAATGCGCGTTCGCTAGAAGCTTGTGTCCGCAGAGCCACTCCCACCCAGCCTACGTCACGGAAAAGGCAGCTTCAACCCCGTATGAGCTGGCAGTTGGAAACAAACCTGCGTCCTCCGATTGGTTGCTAGGGCAGTGGCGTCACCCGGGAATGGCTGCGCCTGGAAGAAGGTTCTCGAATTGCAGGCGGGTGAAGAAGCGAAGAGGAGGCGGTGGCGGCTGGCGGGTTGGGACGGCGAGGACGCCGGGCTTCTGCTCAGCGCTCTGGCCCTGTCTGCTGTCCACAGAGTCCGGTGTGCTCGTCTCCATTGCCGTCTCTGCCTTCACTATTGTTGTGATGGCGCAGTGAGTATTGTCTGCTGGGCTGTCAGGGCGCATGCGCCAAGTCTGGCTTGTCACCTGACTTGCCAGTTGCGACAGTGACGCAAGCAGCAGCTGTTTTGACAGATCTGAGCTGTTTGTGTAGTCAGGGAGCACGATCACTGAGAGAACTATATAGTGTGTGTTATGGGCCTGAGGGAGTGATCTTCTTAGCCAGATGACTAATAGGGGTTTATTTACTAAAACTGGAGAGTGCAAAATCAGACTCGCTTGGGTAAAGAAACCAATCAGCTTCCAGGTTTTATTGAACAAGCTGGTTAGGAATTGATCGGCTACCGTGCACAGCTGTACCAGATTCTAAATGAACCAGTTTTAGTAAATCTCTCCCATAGTGTCACAGTGATCTCCAGCCAGGTTTATTCAATGAAATCATCACCCCAGGATGACACCATGTCAGATGTGATTGGGTGCAGGGTGGATTTTGTTACTCGCTGTGGATTGTACAATTAGAATGCTATTTTCTGGCTGAATGCATCCATTCGTATTTAAAGTGGAGCTTGACTCTCCCAATCAATATGGATTATTTTTAATCTTTATGCTGCTACCATTAGTAAATAGGAATGTATGTTGTATTTACTTGTTTAAACTATTTTTTATGTTTCTTCAGTACTTCCTGGTTTCTTGCCTAGGCAAATGATGTCATACATCCCAGGAGTCTTCTGGAGGAGGGGTTTTCTCAGTTAAGCATGCCCGCTTGCTTGTATGCATGAGCTAAGGGTAGATGGGTTCCAGAAATGCTACATTAATCATCTGCCCTTACTCAAGATGGCCACGGCCAGAAATGCTAGAGGGCTGTTTCAAAAAATGATTTATCAGCCATACAAAAGCATGGAGATATGGATGGGGGAGTTTGCTTTGAATATTAAAAATGAATTAAATAGCATGTTTGCTTTGTGGTGCTCAGATGCAGTGTTCTTTAAAGTTCTGCTTTAACCACTTGCCTACAGGGCACTTATACCCCCTTCCTGCCCAGGCCAATTTCCAGCTCTCAGCGCTGTCGCACTTTGACAACTGCATGGTCATGCAACACTGGACCCATATGAAATTTTTTATCATTTTTTTGTGACAGAGCTTTCTTTTGGTGGTATTTAATCACCTCCGGGTTTTTTATTTTTTCTAAAATAAACCAAAAACCACTGAAAATTTTTTTTATAAAAAGTTTTTTCTTAGTTTTTGTTGTAAAATTTTGTAAATAAGTGATTTTTCTCCTTCACTGATGTGCGCTAATGAGGCTGCAGTGATGGGCACTGATGAGGCACTGGTAGGTGGCACTGAAAAGCAGCACTGATATATGGCATTGATAGGCGGCACTGACAGGCAGCACTGATTGGCATTGATAGGTGGCACTGATGGGTGACACTGAAAGGCAGCTCAGATGGGCACTGATATGTGGCATTGATGTGCACTGGTAGGCACTGATATGTGGCACTGATGGACACTGACATGTGGCACTTCTGGGGCCGCCCTGATGATCAGTGTACATGTCCCCTCCGCGGAATGCCAATTATTGGCTCTCCTCTCGAGCTGTCAGCGTGACAGCCGATAACCGGCATTTCCCTGTTTACATGTGAGCAGCTGTGATTAGACACAGCTGATCACATGACCAAGCCGACATCTTCGGCTCTTTTCGTAGATCGGCGATCCGCTGTGTCTGAGGGACACAGCACACCGCCGATCGCCGCTACTACGCGCTCCCTGAGCCGCGCATGCGTGGAGAGAATGGGAGGACGTCATATGACGTCCTCCCAGAAGGAGAGAACCACCTTGCGCCCTTCATTGGACTATATGGCGGCCGGGAGGTGGTTAAAGTGTTACTAAACCCACAACAGTAAAATCAGCCTGTATATGCAGTAAAGCATGCTTGTTATACTCACTGTGGGACCTAAGGGGTTCATCCTCTGCATTGTGTAAAAAGGCTGTTTGATCCTTTCTTCTCTGTTCCTCCCCTCTTTCAAGTGACCACCTCTTATCTCCAGACTGAACCATAGACATGCATATGCTCAATTTGATGTCTATTGCTAGAGAGGTTTTTTTTTTTTCCTTGGGAGAGTGCATGTGCTCAGCGCAGGGCCAATCCGCACTATCCAGAGGATTTCCATCCTCCAAGAGCCGAAAGAAAACTCCTCTTACAAGCTTTAGCTAGTGGTGGGCTGGACATAGAAGTCACAAGACTGCTCTAACTGCTGATGAGAAAAGGTATTTAGCAGTTTATATTTACTAAAATAATTGCATTTCCATGTTGTGTGTACTGTGGGAGACCAGATATAGTGAATGCAGAATCCTGGGTTTAGTAACACTTTAAGCATATTCATTATCGTGCAGTTTTTGTACATGACCATTAGCATTGGTGGTTCTGTTATGTAGCCAAAGGCTACTTCACATGCATTTTTAGTCCTCATGCACACTGGACATTTTTACAGCGGCTGTTTTTGGCTTTTGACTTTTTTTTTTCTTCTACAGCCAATAAACTCCCCAGCATGTTATCCTATGTGACCATGCACACAGACTATAATCAACATTTTTTTTGGCTGGGAAAAAACCCCAGAACTAGTGGGTTTGTAGAGTTTTTTTTTTTTCTAGCTATAAAAACACTGTAAGTCACGGCAAACCAGCTTTTAACTTCAGCTTGTTCAGTTAGTGGTTGCAAACCTCTGAAATAAAAAAAACGCATATCCCCCTAGAGCAGGGGTGTCAAACAATTCCATTGACAACAACATCGGCATTATGGTTGTTGTTAAAGAGCCCATTGTGTCTGTAGGACTATATAATTGTATCTACTCTTCATCAAAGTCCGATCTGTGGAAGAGCGGGCAAGAAGACGAAAGCTGCGAGAGGAGCGAGCTTGGCTGTTATCGCAGGGCAAAGAATTACCTCCAGAACTAACTCACCTGGAGCCCAACTCCCCGCTACGTGAGGACTACAGAGTCCCTGATCTGTGAGTGTCTCATCACTTATGTTTTATGTTCTTGATTTCATTTTGTTTGATCTCCAGTAAGAAAAATTAGGGCTGGTTCACACTTGTGCAGGTAAAAACTCATATGGAAGCACTTGTGTTTACCTGAATTTTTATTTGTGTTTTTCAAACTCCTAATAGGAGTGTCAATAAAGCAGTGGATAGTGTCGTGCCCCTGAAGTCTCACTTTTGAGACGGAGAAAGGGAATGCAGAAACATTCCCCGCTCTCTCTATAGCCTTAGCTGCACTGCAGATGAATAAACAGGTGACCGAGGTTCCTATTCATTCATAAACTGAAGCATAGTAAACACAATATACTATGCTTCAGTTATGAATAAACAGTCAGTGCCCTACCCCTGCTCTTCATCCTGACACATTCCCCGCAGCAGCCGGCAGGAGAGGAGGGAAGTCAGCAGTGCTGCAGGGGGATGAGATTTGGGGGGGGGGGGGGGCACAGAACAGGGGGAGTCTGATGGACAGTCAGGGGTAATCAGTGTGGCAGGGGGCAAATTACAAGCTCCAATCTCCCTGTATGGGTCTCAAAGCTGCAGGAGGGAGAGGAGACGCAGCTTTCAGCTGCTTCATGGAGAGCCAGACAGGGAGATCAGCAGTTGCAATTGCTCCCTTCCACACTGATCACCCTGACTGTCCAATTCCCCCTGCTGCTGGTGTTTCCTGTGCGTTTTGGCACAGCTCACTTGGGGAGCAGTGTGAAATCTCCAGCAGTGTTGCAGATTTCCACATCGCAGGCAACAAGTGTGAATGGGGTACATAGAAAAGCATTCTTTTCTGTGTGCCCTTGCAGAGAGAAGCGTTTATTCTTCAGAAAAATGCATCTCTCTGCTATAGCGTGCACAGGCCCTCATTCTTTCATAGATTGCTTACAGCCCCAAAACTAGTATTTGTTGTTATTGCACCAACAGTTCATTCAGCACTTTACATAGTGAAGGGAGACAGTACAGTTACAATACAAATAAATACAAGAGGGTTAGAAGGGCCCTGCTCGTGAAAACTTACAATCTAAAAGTGAGTATCAAGTGATAAACATGGTAATAATTGTACAGTATAAACCGATAAAGAGGTAGAAGTGCAGTCTTTAGATGGAAGGAGGATAGGTTTCCCTGAAGAGTTTTTCTAGAAATGACTCGAGGACAGAGTAGGAGATGGCATTGCAGGTTGGGGTAAGTAGTTCTAGAGGATGGGGGAGGCTCTGGAGAAATCCTGGAGCGGAGCATGGGAAAAGTTGAAAAGGGTGCTAGAGAGGAAGAGGTCTTGGGAGAAGTGGAGAGAATGGTTTGGGTGTGATATTTTGAGAAGAGGTTGATGCATTCAGTCTAGGTTAACTGAACTCTGCCTCTTCCAGCTCCAGCTGCCTCTCAGATTTCTCTCAGAAACTGGTTGTAGTGGTGTGCTCCCTCTGTCATTCCCTCCACTGGCTCCCGATTGCCCAACGCATTAAATTCAAACTACTAACACAGAGATACAAAGCCATTCATAATGCTGCCCCAAACTACCTCACCGACCTGATACCCAAATAACTCCCTACCCGTAATCTTTGCTCCTCACTTTCTAGCTCCCTGGTCTCCACCTCCCACGCCCGACTGCAGGACTTCTCCAGGACTTCCCCCATCCTCTGGAACTCACTACCCCAATCCATCAGACTGTCGCCTACCCTCCTCACGTTTAGGCGCACCCTGAAAACCCATCTCTTCAGGGAAGCCTACCCTGCCCTCACCTAATAGCCGATCTCCTCCTACCACTCCATCCCCCACAGCCACTTCATCCTGTACCACTATCCCCTCCCTCCTAGATTGTAAGCTCGAAAGAGCAGGGCCCTTGAACCTCTCGTGTTTTGTTTTGTTACTGTATTGTCTCATGTTCTGTCCCCCACTATAATGTGCAGCGCTGAGCAAACCTTTTAGCGCTATATAAATACTGTATAATAATAATAATCAAATTAAATAATTGCCTGTGATTACTGGTTTTAGTAATAACTTAAGCAGACCGGCTTGGAGCCCACGTACAGACGTAGCAGAAGATGCAAGTCTAAAAAGGAGGATCACACACCAGCAGTATGTAACCTTCCTTTTCAACTGGCATAGTTGTAAGAATTAGAAACAGATGTCCATAGCACCGCACTCCCCTTACATCAGATGTCGAGAGACAACCCCCCCCTTATATCACAGTGCAACCCTGTTACCTTGTGCTGCTTCCTGAAAGAAGCTGGGAAGCAGAAAGTGCAGGGTCTGGAGGAGGAGTCAGTTGGCGAAGACAACGGGGTGCTGCGGTGGCACAGGATCTGTAGGAGTTCTGTTCTCTGCTGAGAAAAGGTGGGGTGGAGACGAGAGGGGCGCTGCAGGAGAGGTGTGAGGTCCACGGGAAATGGCCCGGCGGGTTTTGTGTTTGACACATGTGCTCTATAGTATGTACTTGCCTCTATCTAAAGAACCACGTGTGATTTCTGTTTGCTCTGTGTTACCTTTGCATGACTCACATGTGACAGTCTGAGGACAAAAGACCATTCTGAAAGACAGCCTCTGCTATGCATGTTTTTTTTTTTAATGAGACTGTAACGGAGTGCATGTCCATTCCCTCTACTTAGGTCTCAGATTACTCAGTTCTGTGCTCTATATTCTGTGCAGTGTGTGACATCACAGCCTCGGACCTTGCCTTCCAGCGCTGTGAAATGCTTTCTAAATTCTGTACTTTGAAAGGCTGTTGAGGGCAGATCGCTGCAGGTATGTAGGAGGATTTCTTAAATCTTGGTGTATCATCTGAGGCTTGCCACAGCACTGTGTATATGTAAGGGTTTGAAACCAATTTAAAGAGGAACTAAAGATACAATAAAAAAAATCTGTGAACAGACATGCTGGACAAAGCACTTTTGCATGCACTGTCTATTTTGCAACAACACTAACCTACCTGGCTGCTTGCAATCTATTAGATGTACACAGAGCTATGTATGTGCAGCTCAGCGTGCATTCCCAGCATGCTGCAGCTGTGCCAGAAAGACTTATTTCTATACCCATGTACAGGATTAGGTCATCCCTGCTGACCAAAAACCCAGAACATGGAGGGGTCCCGGGGAAGATGACAGCAAGTGGTGAGATATGTAACTGTTGCAGCACTGGAAGGTGAATATCTTGCAGAGTTTAGTTCTGCTTTAAGGTTTGAAAATTAAAGCTAGAAGCTGATTTGTTACTATGCACAGCTGCTTCAGATTCTGATTGTCTACTCTTAGTAAATATCTCCCAAGGTGTGGTGATTGGTGCTTTTCTTCACCTTATCAACATAAGTCGCTACTAGGGCACCCCAAAAACAATTGTTCTCTACAGGCATTTAAAACGGGAATCTCCACTGCCAGCTATTGCATTCAGTAGTTGAGGCACCCATGGCTGCCTACATACATTGATGCTGCTTAACAGTAACTACAGCTGATGTAACGCAGTCACTGCTCAGCCAATAATTTTCCATGAGGCACAGATGGGTGGTGCTTGCAGGGCCACCACTGGCTCAAATATGTCCAATTTAGAGAGCAACATCTGAAATTTAAGCTGTCTATGGCCAGTATAAAGCAAGGTATATGAATACACTGATCAGCACTGCAGCCATTGGCTGCATGTGCAGATCAAATGCTGGTTTTCAAGGAACATTTAACAGAAGCTGGTCTAATGACTAGC